CATGAATTTTTGGTTTTCTTCATTATTCTTTGCTCTGGACAAGGAGAGACCCATTGTTGCATCTAGATGGCAGCTTGCAAGCTTTTAAGATCCCAGTCGCTACTCACAAAAGTAGGAGGTGGAACAATGTTTATTACAACAAAATCTTATGTGAAACCCCATACAACAGTAGACATGCCTCCGCTGAAGCCAGCTAGTTAGGCCCTGGTCTGCTCACACAGAGACCTTTCCTTCCCCTACCCTAGACTCTTGGAGAGATTACTTCAGATTTCCTAAGGGTTCCAGAGAACCCCATTTGAAAACCCTCTTTCTGTTATCCATGTCTCCATCTATTTTTTCAAAAATACATTTTTATTTTGGTCAAAGTATATGCAGCCAAAGATACACCTTTCAACAATTTCTACCTGTACAATTCAGTGACATCGCTTACATGTCAAGCTGTACTACCATTCTCACTATCCTTTTCCACATTATCCCACCACCATTATCTTAAACTCACTGCCCCCTAAGCTGCCCATCCAGCCTCTTGTCTTGCCCTTGTCAATTTGATCTCACATAGAATATTCTTTAAAAGAACACAGTACACAAAGCAGATGCACTTTACTAATTAAAATAAGCTATTTATTGGTTCACAGAAGACTTCAGGGGATAGTTTTGGTTTAAAGTTTCAAGATTATCTCAGGGCAATAATTTCAGGGCCTTTCCATCTGTTTTTGATGTTTGGAAGCACTGTTTTACCCAAGCAGCAGATCATGCCTGAACAGAGGCATCAGGGAACAGCCTTAAAAACATACACACAGACCTACCCCCACCCCACCCCACACACATAACAGGCAGTGGAACATTCTGGAGCTTCCTTCTCCTCTTTGTGGTTTAATTGTCAAGGAGATGTTTGCATGTGGAGAATGAAGCTGGAGAAAGAGGAAAGTGAAGTTAATCAGCAAAAAGAATATCTTTGGAAAGGTAAAGGAGGGCCAAGGAACCATTCCAAATATTGGTAATGATGACTTTTGAAGACACTTTTCAAGGTTGATATACAACGAATGCACTGCCGTCAAGTTGAATTCGACACATAACCACCCCTCCTTGGGTTTCCGAGGCAGTATCCCTACGGAAGTAGATTGCCCAACCTTCCTTCCAAGGAGTGGCTGGTGGGTTTGAACTGCCAGCCTTCTAGTTAGCAGTCAAATGCCTTAAGCACTACACCACCAGAGCTCCTTCAAGGTTGATATAGGCACCAGAAGATTCAAGGGTAAACTCTTTGGAGAAGTTCATGGAGAAGAACATACTTTCTCATTTGTTTTAGATTAGGATAAGACCCCTTGCAATCAGGGACTGAAGAGGCATGATCAGAGTTTAATGTTGTAATCACTTAAAACTTACAGTAACTAGTATTTTACTCATATTAATGAGTAAAATCTTACTCATACATAAGAGATATTTATTTCATCTGTAACAGTTATCTATTGATTGCAAAAAATATATATACATGAATGAAATTATTGTAATCCTTCCCTATTGTGAATTCCCTTTGTAAGAAATGCTAACATGTGTGAATTTGTTTTTTATGTACTTTTTTGGTGACTTTGAAAATATTTCAGTTCTTGTATTCTTTAAGTGCAACTTACTCTTTTTTTATTTTTTTAATTTTTTAATTATGATTTGGGTGAAAGTTTACAGAACAAATTGGTTTTCTATTCAACAATACAACCTATTCTTGTCAGAGATTCTTATAAAGGAACTTGGGTCTAGAATTAGAAAAGTTTGAAAAGTTAGATGACGAAAGTTGGAGCAGGATTTGAAGAGAAAATCTCAACTCCATACTAACTCAATAAGTATGGTCATATTTTTAAACCCCGCTAGCCGCAGATTGCTCATCTGCAAGATGGAGAAGATGAACGTTAAGTGAGATGAAATACCAAGCACAGGATAAGCATTCAATTAATAATAAGCATTCAATTAATAGTAGTTGTAAAGTAAGTGGTACTGGTCTTCCTTAGGAAAGCAATGACAGTCAGCGAAGGCCTTGGTGCTGCCAGAATCCCATATGCCCGTCCTCTGTCAGCCCCTAATCTGCAGGCCCTTGAATAACATACCTATATGCTCTATTTCTTTGTCCCCAGTGCTAAAAGGATACATTGTCAGCCCCAAAGAGCCCAAGGGCCATGGACGACCAGACCAGCTTAACCCATCAGGACTGTTGGAAAGGGAGTGGGCAGACAGTCAAGATGGGGTCTGACAAATCAGGCTCTGAACTTTGGAAAAGTGGGCAGGTGGGCTGTGGAAGGCAGTGCTCACAAAGTCTGGGCACATTCCCCTTTGCCTCACACTTCTACTCTAAAGCATGAAATGATAAAATCCAATCAATTTGAGGCTCACAAAGGCAGTAAGGAGAGAGACAGAAAATTCTATACCTGGAAAGGGGCAGGGATGAGTCTGGAGCAAAAGCAATTTCATTTCTTGACTAGAGCGAGAACAGTCATTGCCAGACCTCAAGCCATTTCTCTCCAGGGCTTATGCTTGTCCCTGTGCATTTTCTTCCTCCATTTCCCAAGGATAGGGGGCTTTGAAGTCAAGCAGGCAGGTTCAAGTCTCACTTTGCCACCTGTTACTAGTTTTGCAATTTATTTCCTCATCTGAAAGATGTACGTAATAATTACACTCACCTAAGGCAAACAGTGAGCAAAATGGTTGGCTA